GACATTTGACCTTTAGATTAACATTTATTGTATATTATTGACAGAAGACCTATATTATAAATATATATTTTAATACATATATATTGCACTGTAGCTGTTTTCAAAAACGGATAGTATATAAAATATATATATAAGATAATGCATTTGGTCATTAAAATCTAAACTAAAATCCAAAATGGTCTCTGTATTCTCATATGAAAAGATATTAATATAACACAATAATTGATAACAACACTGCCTTTATACAGCGCTTTTATCGCCCTCAAGGTATTTAATGAAAAATTTTTTTTTTTTTTCAAAATTATCTAGGAGTCTGGTTTCACTTGTTTTTCACATAAAAAAGAAGGCACAGAGAAGCAGTGTGATCTGCCCCAGTTTCTAGCTCAGAACAGGACCTACATTTTCTTCAAACCAGCTCGATGTCCAATCCCACTGGACCACATTACCTAAATATATCACACTAATACACTTCATCATAGAAGGCACAATTGCAACTACACTTTGATTCATTTGCTATTTACAAACTCACAGGTATATTCATATCTTGTTTGCTAGACCTTCCTTTGAAAACTGAATGTCATACATTTCTCATTACTCTCAGCTGCATGTAAAAAATAAAAGTAAGTCCAGACAACTACTGTGATTAGAACAAAAACAAAGAACTAAATAAAAATTCATGTATTTGTTTAAGCATTTCTGCTGAATATAGGCAAGAACATAGAATATGCTCAAGATATTTAAGATGTTTTGCTTAAGAATAAAACACCTAAATAAAAAAAACCTTGTAAAACATTTCTTACACACATGAGGTAAAGCGTTATGAAGAATATATGGAAAACTTAAGGCCAGTCTTTACTTATTAAATATAGAGAAGCAAGGCAATATATGAGAGAACATTTGAACGTATTAATTATTTAACAAAATTAAGTACTAACAATTCCTCTAAGCATATGCTTCACTACTCATTTTATTAATAGATGTATTCTACCAGTTACAACAAATTGCAATATTTAGTACTAATTCTTCCCAAAGGCATAACTCCTATTACAAACACGATGATAATACATGTCATGAGACAGCTGCAAGTAATGGTGTTCAAGACCAGCTGAAGAAGTCAGCTCTCCATTACTGGGATATTGCTTCTGAGCTGAGATGCAGTAATTAACCACTAAACAGAAGCAAACCACTGCTACAACCTCCTGTCCCGCAGGAGACCAGGACTGTGCACTCATCCATCTACCAAATCACAGCCAAAAAGACAGTAACTACTTAAAGCACTCTTAATACTAATTGCCTATGATCAAGTGACTGTATCATGAGAAAAGACTGGAAATAATGTTGACATTTGTTTCTACGTTTCTAAACAGATTTTTTCTTAGTTGGAAAGGTAGCCTCCCTATTATTCCAAATGATTACGTGGATATTTCAAAAATCTGTTCAATCCCATTTTATGATGTATTTGTAATGACTCAAATGTACATTAATCTACATTCTAACACAGCCAAATACACAAAACTCCATGAAATTGCTGTGAATATGCATCTTTAAAAATTAAAATCTGAACCTAACCCATTATTTGAGTTTAGATGTAAATTCAAAACCAGTTCAAGACTGGGAAAAATTCATGGCTTTCTTATTATTTTATTCTTACATATCTTCCTTACCTGAACCACCCACGGACTGTTGGCAAAGGCCATGATATCTCTTTCTTCCCAGAAAAAGGCTGAATCTGATCGCTTGATCATTTCAAATTTACTAAGTAGCTTCATTGCATAAACCTTCTGTGTCATTTTATGGCGAACCTGTTGGTTGAGAAAGAAGGGAAACAACTTTTTTAAAATGCCTTGGAAAAACCTGAATATCAGCAGAGTATATTTCTTCTACATGCAAACTGCATTCTGGGATGTGATGCCTCCAGGTTTTCATATACCCAATTTTCTATACAGGAAGGATTTGATAACTTCCAAATCTGGAAAGAAAACTTAACAGCTCCTCCAAAAAAAACATAGCAGGGGTGGAACAAAAAGGATGCCAAATGCAGCCCCAGAAGAGGAGCTGCAGGGCCATGAGAAGGATGTGCCTCAGGAGCTCCTAGGAGGTAGCTGTTTTATTGAAGATGCACTGATAGAAGCATATGTTCTTCCTCACTATGGCTATGAGCATAAAAATGAGAGCTGACTCCAGTAGTCTGCTTACTCAAATTCAAACTGCTTTAAAAAAATCCCCAAACCCAAACCAAACCAAACAAAAAAAACAACCCAAAACTCAGAATGAGAAAAGTAGCATCTTCCTCTAAAGAACTGGACTACTCTTCTTAACATTTTCTGAAAACCACCCAGAACACTAAAAACTGTTGCGTTCATTCATGTTAGAAATTCTGCAAGCAGTCCACTTCAGTCTCTTCGAATTTTTATTTTTCACAAAAAAGATCGCTCTATTTATTTTCTTAAGTAGTTATTAAATTAACTTCAAATGGTGTAAAATTAAATTAATAACATAAATCTTGTTTGAAAACTGAAATTAAAACTTTTATGAGAAAATTTGAAAACATTTTGGAAAACTTAATCTGAATATGGACATGAAACAAAATCCTTAATGTACAGACTGTAAAGTCATTACCCTGTTAATGAAACAATGTTAGATTTATGCTACGTTATAAAGCAACTACTAAAGGGAGAGTTTTTTAACATTCTTGAGTGTTCCTTAGAGAAATCAAGGTGAGAAGTATTCAGCTGTAAGATGTCTGAATCAGCAGAAAAAAGGAAATTAACTGCATCTTAAGTTTCTGCATATTTTCTTCACATGGAAATAAAATATTCAGAGGAATAGTTTGTGCAATCAGAACCAAACGGTTACGACTTTCTGGTGCGTTTAAAAACCTCTTACTTTTTACACAATGTCTATGTTTAATTATGCTACTTGAAAGAATGTTTAACAGGCTCTTTTCCTGAACAGCTGTAAATGTTTCAGGTTCATTATGTCTGCAGTGCAAAGCTTCAGAGAGGCACCGATTTGTTCTACAAACCTGGGAGCATCAGTCTCCTGCTCCTGAGGAGCTGTTAGCGTTCAAAGTTGCTGAAGCCAACAGGAATGAACTGCAGAAGTAGGAGAAGCATTGTGGGGGGATCTCAGAAAGAGTAAGAATATGAACAGAAATAGGATTATTTAGGAACTTGCTGTTCATGAAATTGGGCCTTTTTGCTCTCAAGATACAGGTACAAAAATTGTAGAATTAGTACCTTGCACACTTTAACACTCACGAACAACCTTTCATATAGCTGGATCAAAAAGCCTCCAACCAAACACCAAATGAGAAACACGTTATCTACACGCATTAACAACTCTATAAGCATGTATATTTTAAGGCATTAACAATTAACCAGCTATTGAAGGTGTCATAAAAAAAGATTTTGAAAACTACCTCCTTCCCACTTAGTAATCCCACATGGGATTATTTATAAAGACTTGGTGGTGCACCACAAACTATATGCCACGTAGTAGAGATTCTGTAATCCAGCTCAAACCCAGAAGAAATACAAAGACCAGCAACCTCAAAAGATATCTAATTGGAGATGCATCTTCTGTGAAAGCTCTGCAAAATATTTAGTAGTTTACAATTCCTAAGGTTGTTGTGTACTCTTGCTTGGGTGTAGTTAGTATAAGCACCTCCATTTATGAGAATAATTGTCTCCTACAATTTAGGAAAAAACAGACTCGAAAAGTCAGCACAGTCTGAAGCAAGCTCATGCATAGGAGAAGCAAAGTAAACGGGAGTATGGGGAGCAGAAATCACAGTCTGTGCACCTCTCTAAGGTGGTGCCAATGGGTTATCCATTGGCTAACTTCCTGATTAAATTTCAAGATACGTTCATTCTCTGTAAAAAAAAAATCAAGGAACCAAAGCAACAACTATCATGCTGGCACACCCAAAGGCTGAGTGTGTCTTGGCATGCCTTACAGGTGAACAGACCTACTGGTGATACTACTTCTCGTATCACCACCACGGCCCCTGGAGACAGCCTATGTAGCTGCTAGCCACTGTGCTTTTTACCCAGAGCTATATTTGTACATACATATATTGGCTCATATAGCAGATTATTCATGTATTAAACTGGCATGATGTTTCAATTTCTTCCAACTGTTTAAATGAACTGCCAAATTTAAACTGCAGCTCACCAGAGTAACTCTCAAAATAGGTAGGAAAATCCCTTCGTGCCGTCAGCACTGAGTAACATGGCCTCGTCTAACTTACGAAAATGCATTAAGAAATAAGAATTTCCCTCTACTCTGTTTCATCAACCTAAGACTTTCAAGAAACAAGTATGCACAAAGTGCACCCACAATTTTTACAGCATTCACGTCAGAAGACAATCTGTAAACAAAGACAAAACCATATCCATTTGACGTTATCAGATTGAGTACATAGCACTCACTGATAATGGTACCATCTTTTCTGCGATAAAAGAAAATTAAGATCCTGAAGTTGAGTTGTGAAATGAACTCTAAGGTTTGAAATAATCACAAATATCCTAACATGCTTAATAGAGCCATAAGCAATTACCACAGATAGGGTACCAAAGTTCATGTCTTGATAAGTTTCCAGGTAATAGACCATGACTGCTTTATTTGTATTACCACAGAAGTGTACATCAGCAGTGGCTGGGGAACTAAACCTAATAAACAAAGCACTTAATGGAAAAAACTAAACCAGCACCTGTTTCCGTAGGACATGACAGCCGCTGGTTTGCAACACTAAGAAATCATGTAGTAAAGAACGTCACCCAGACCATCCTTTACTACCCAAAAAAAGAAAGAGTTAGCCTTGCTTTCTATTCCAGTTGTCTATTCCAGTGCATGATCAAGTCAGTCTCCTGTGTCACTGCAACATTACAGTACTTTGGAACTGAGGATATGTTTCAATTTCAAATCAAGAGGATTTTTCCTCAAGTGAAAACAAACGAGGTACTCAGGACATGCTTTTGTAAATTACTGTTTCTGCATAAACCACAAATAACATATTAAGCACCATAATTCAATTTTTCTGTCTGCCCTAGACACCAGTCACTTTTATTTATGGCACTGCATAAGAGAAGAAGCGATCTGGCAGCTGGCAATTATTTTCTTAGCTTTCCTCATCACTACAGACCCAGCAAAGCCAGAGGCCAGAGCTCAAGAATAGAGTTTAATACTTCTGGAGTTATAGGAAATTGTTTCTCCACCAAAGTCAGACGCTCAGACCAAAGTCATCTGATCTCTCGTTACTGGACTGAATTTTTTAATTTTTTTTTTTGGGGGGGGGGGGGGGGGGGGGGCA